CGAGGAACAATGAGTAGCCTGAAACAAAATGGAATCCCATGGACAAGGGCAAAGAGAAGATGAAGCCATCTGGTGGTGTTGAAAAAAATTAAAAAGTACCTTCAATGACAACTATTTCAATTATGGAAAGCTCGGACATTGTTCGATAGATTGCAAGGTGCCAAAAAGAATGAAAGAGACAAATCAAGCACATGTCATTACTGAAGAGGAAGAGCCACTCAACTTGAAATATATTGTCTCTGAGGAAAACCTATTAGGATCGAACAAGAAACAATGGTAGCTCGACACGGGAGCAACACGACACACTGCATGAACAGGAACCAGTTCTCCTTGTTCAAACGTGTCGAATGAGAAATGATATACATAGGGAATGTTGCTCCTGCTGAAGTCAAATGGGGAGGAAAAATGCTTCTGAAGATGAGGTCAGGAAGAGTTGTGACGCTGACCAATGTTCTATACGTGCCGGTGATAACAAAAAACCTGTTCTCGGGGACGCTTTTGACGACACCCGGCTTTAATATTAATATGAATGATGATGATTTTGTTTTGCATAAATCATGAGTGTATGTGGGTAACAGATATGTAGATGATGGTTTATTAAAATGTTGTATTATGACAATGATTGAAAATAATAATAATAATAATAATAATAAGGTAAAATTGCTCATAACTCCCCAGTGGTTTCGAAATCCAACGTAAAATCTCCTTGTACTTTAAAAATTGCATAGCACCTCCTTATACCTTAAAAAACGTTGCATGAAACCCCACCACCATGAAACATTCCTTGTGTGATGAGAAAATGATTTTCTATCTACATGTTTTGCATGACAGAAGGGGTTTCATGCAATATTTTTTAAAGTATAACGGAACGTCATGCTTTTTAAAGTAGAATGGAGATTTATGTTGAGTTTCGAAACCAAAGAGGAGTTTTATGCAACATTATTTTAAGTATAAGGGAGCGCCATTTAATTTTTAAAGTAAATGGGAGATTTATGCTGAATTTCGAAACTACGAGGGCGTTATGGCAATTTCGGCTAATAATAATAAGTCGGTTACTTATATTGTTGAGTCATCTACTTTATGGCATAGTCGATTGAGTCATGTAATTATGATTCAATACGTCAATTAATTAATCTGAACCACATTCCATAATTCAAATTCAATAGACGTAAATATGAAATTTGTGCTGAAGCAAAAAAAACTCGATATTCTTTCCAAACGATTCACCATGAAACTGAACAACTTGAATTAATTCACAGTGACATATGCAATTTAAAATTTGTACAACCATATGGTGGTAATAAATATTTTATTAAATTTATTGATAATTGTACAAAGTATTGTTATGTGTATTTACTTAAAAACAAAGACGAGACATTAAGTAAATTCATTTTGTTAAAAAATTAAGTGGAAAATCAACTTAACAAACAAATTAAACGAACTACAAGTGATAGAGGTGGAGAATATGAAACTTCAATAAGTAAATTTTGTGCACAAAATGTAATAATTTACGAAGTAACTCTACCTTACTCACCTTAATCAAACGGCGTTGTTGAATGCAAAATGATGAATGTGATCTTTTTAAGTTGTGGACTACCCCAAAACAGTGGGGGGAAGCCATTTTAAGCAGTAATTATTTGCTTAAATTAATTTCTCGGAAAGAGATGGAAAGACCCCTTATGAGCTCTGGAAAGGTTGAAAACCATTTTACGAATACCTTCAAGTATGGGGGTGTCTTGCTAAGGTAGTGGTGCCACCTCCCAAACGTGTAAGAATCGGTCCCAAGACAGTGGACGGTATTTTCATAGGATATGCTCATAACAATACAACTTATCGATTTTTGGTACTCGATTCAAAATTTTAGGATATCCCAAAGAAAATGATAATGGAATCAAAGAATGCATCATTATGAAAATGTGTTCCCTGCAAAGGTAGGCGCTGAATCTAGTTCGACCAACCGAGAATATGAATATGTGGATCAAAATCGAATGGAAATAAATGATTCTGAATTTGAATAAGGTTAGGAACCTGAGCTTAGAAGAAGCAAGCGAGCACAAGTTGAAAAGTTGGAAATGACTATTTGACTTATCTCTTTGAAAATGAGCCTCAAACTTATGCTGAGGCGACGAGGTCTTCTGGAGCGCCGCTTTGAAAAAAAGCCGTAAAAAGTAAAATAAATTCTATTCTTCAAAATCACACTTGGGAACTTGTGGATCTCCCATCTGGATCAAAACCTCTTGGATCAAAATCTTTAAGATGAAATTAAAATCGGATGGCTCAATAGACAAATACAAGGTCATACTAGTAATCAGATGTTATAGGCAGCGAGAAGCCGTAGAATACTTTGATACATATTCTCCTTTCATGAGAATAACATCCACTAGGATGATCCTTGCGATAGCCACTCTGCGGAATCTTGAGGTACATCAAATGGATATGAAAACGACCTCTTAAATGGAAATCTTGATAAAGAAATCTGTATGGAACTACCCGAAGGCTTTACAATTCCAAGAAAAGAAATGAAGGTATGTAGTCTTGTGAAATTATTCTACGGACTTAAACAATCTCCAAAGAAGTGACATGAGAAATTTAACCATACTATGATGGACAGTGGTTTCAGAATTAATGAATGCGATAAGTGTATTTACGTAAAGACTATTGAGTCAAGATACATAATTATATATCTTTACGAAGACGGTATACTTATCGTTGGTAGAAATGAAAAAATTGTTAAGTCTACCAAAGACATGTTAAATTCTAAATTTGACATGAAAGATATGAATCTCGTTGATGTGATTTTAGGAATTAAGATCAAAAGAACCGAAAATTGTCTAAATTTGAGTTAAACTCATTATGTAGACAAAATCCTCAAAAAATGGGAACCTCATTGGATACATGTATCCATTTATCCAATAATCGTGGAAAGGGCGTATCCAAATCGAATAAGCTCGGATAATTAAAAGTTTGATGTACCTAATGAGTTGTACCAGATCCGACATAGTTTATACTAAAAGCAAGTTGAGTACTTATATGAGTAATTTTAGTCGCAAGCATTGAAAAGCCATCGTTCGCGTACTTAGGTGCTTACGATACACTCGAGATTACATGTTGCACTATAACAGACATCTAGCTGTAGTAGAGGACTACTCAGACGCAAATTGAATGTTTAATACTCTTAATTTGAGATTAATTAGTGGATATGTGTTTACACTAGATGGTGCAACAATCTCATGGAAATCCTCAAAATAAACAATTATTGCCAAATCCATAATGGAATTTGAATTCATTGTTTTGGATAAAACTGGATAAAACTAGAGAAGATGCGGAATGGATTCACCACTTTTTTTTAAGATATTCCAGAATAAGACAAATCTATCTTTTCCATAACCTTATACCGTGATAGTAAATCTACTATTGGCAGAGTAGAAAGTACAATGTATAATGGAAAGAGTCGACACATTCATTGTTGACACAATTCCATAAGACAACTGATCACAGCTAAGGCTATTGCAATAGACTATGTTGCGTCAAAGGATAAGCTAGCAGATCCGCTAACCAAATAGTTAAACTGTGATGCAGTTTATGAATTGACAAGAGGAATGGGGGGGTTAAGCCTGCTGAAAAATAAGTGTTATAAAGGAAAATCCAACCTAGAAATACTGAGATCCTAAGAACTAGGTTCAATGGGACAACTCACCTATAAGACTTATGTGTGTCATTGTGGGGACAAATAACCTCGACCTATTTCTGTCAACAAACAGTAACAAAGTAAGGAGGGATAACAAATGATTGCTTTAATGATCACCAAGTGAGTTGTATCACTTAGAAACTTGGAGATATCACCTATGTGATAGAGAAGTGAGAGTTTTTCAAATGAGAACTGTTTAGGCTCAATTTTTTAGAAACTCTAACATAATTAGGATGGATTCCATGGCCAAAACGAGCCAAACAATGAGAACCAAACTAGACATATAGATTCTGTATCGGTACGTAGCTCATCCACTATAATATTGAACAGTTTAAAGACAACGTGTCCATTGGAAAGTTGGTGGTGAAAACTTCGTACAACTAGTAGGAAAGTTTAAAGGAAAATCTACTTATCATATGCATAATTCATCTTTCTTTTATCTAATCATCGTATTTCCTCTTTCATGTGGGGGATTGCTAATATATGTAGTGAAAGAGGAAATAAAGGATATTATGAAACTCTTATCGTACGTAGGAGGAGACAAACTCTCCCACTTAATAAATGTTGTGGTCCCATTAAATAATAAATCGGATTAGAAGAGATTCATGGAATTGGTCTCATGAATTGAGCTCATATATATAGTTAAAATTGGGCCTTGGGGCTCGTGACTAGGCCCAATTACGAAAAATCCAATTAATTTTAATTTTACATTTATCCGATAGTTTAATTTGACCAATTCAAAATAAATTTAAATTAATCAGATAAAGTAAAAAATTATTGAAACGTGTTAATGATTGAATTGAATTTAGTGGGATTAATTTCCTCACATTTGAACTACACCTCAACAACCCCATAGTTTTCTAATTTTAAAAATCTAATCGAAAAAAATAGTTTTCAAAAGAATTCTGCACAAAAACTTTCTCCCCGAAAAAAAAAAAAAAAAGATTTTGCAAATTTCTCTCTTTTCAAAAACTATTCTATAGATCTCTCTATCTCCTAATTTCGGTTCGTTGCTATTCCGTGTTAAGCCAATCTATCTTGGGAGGCTATCGGTGGTGGATCGAATTCGCTTCAAAGAGATCGCATCCTTCACGAGGCTCGGATTCAATTTCGTATCTAATATTTGTTTTCGGTATGATCAGATTTGAGGTTTTAGATTTCGTCACGTCTCATATTCGGCCCATATAATCTAACAACACTAAACAAATATATTCATCATAAGAACAACAACAATAGTAAACATAATAAGGAAATGATAGAATTACGTATCCACCCTTCACGCGGCACCAAAACATTGCATTATTCCAACAACTATAACCAACAAACAATTTTCAAGTTTATCATCAAGAAATAACTCTACTTCTTCAACATCAACCTAAAAATCACACATTTATATATATATATATATATATGTATGAACTTCAAAACAAAAAACAGACACTAACCTCATGAATCAATGAATTAGTTAGTTTGGCTTTTCACTGTCACTTTCAGAGACATAGTTATGCACCGGCGGGGTGGTAGATCCAGAGCCTGCAGAGCCAGCGCCGCCGCTCCTCCTCGTCCCGATCGTCCGCCCCACGAACTTCCCCGCTCGGCTAAGCCCCGTGTGCATCGCGCCAATTCCGCTCCCCACCAGCCCCGCACCAGCATTAACGCCACTGCTAACCAGGCCAGCACCAGTGCTCACACCACTGCTCACTAGGCCTGCGCCAGAATTTACGCCGCTGCCGACAATGTCGGCGCCAGCTGTGACGCCAGTGCCGACCATTTCAGCTCCGGCAGTGACGCCGGTGCCCACGACGGAGGCAGCCCCATCGAGGGCATCCACTGTGCTCCCCACCACCCCAGCTTCTTTCATTTTCTTTTTCTCTTCCATCATTCTCTTCTCTTCTTCCAGGGCTGCAAACTGTTCTTCTTTGTTGAATTCATGGTAACACACCTGATCCATCCAAACAATCAATCCACTATACTACTATACTGTAATATAGTACAGTCACTTTTTACTTATATTTTGAAGTTCTAAATAAAAAGTTTGAATAAATAAAATTATCTTCTATCAATAGAGCTAGAGAATAGAGACTTATTATATCTATCATATTCTTAATTCCCTATTTAATATTCTAATTTTTTATTATTTCAAAATATTTAAAAAAATATCTAGTAGGACTGCCAACATATGTTAAATAATCATGAATTGTGAACACACTCATGATTAGATTAACCATATACATATCTAATTGTGAATATGCTTGTGTAAGTGTAAACATTATAAATTCAAATCCAAATTCAAAAGTGATTATTGAAGTTTGGGAGTTTGGTTTCTTTTTTAAATATACAACATTAGTAATTTTCCATAAAAATAAGTAACACAGCATAAATAAGTAAAAGTTTAATTGTACCTGGACAGTGAGAGTCCCTCTGTCCTTCTTGTCTTTGATTTTGGTCATATTCTGGGAGGGAAGAAGCCTTAGCTCAAGAGTTTCTGTTTTCTCAGGTTTCAGATCGATGAGAGGCACCTTCGTTATTCCTAATAGCTTGTCCTCTCCAATGTCTTCATCAAGCACCTGCATCAATTCAATTCAACTGGTAAGTAATGAAGAATCAACAGTAGGAAGAACTTAGAAGAAGAAGAACAACAACAACAAGAACAAGAAAGGGGATGTATGGATGGATGGATGGATAATATAATAACAGGAAGGAAGCACCTCCAACATGAGTGACTGCGTCTCCTTATCTTCTGCAATAAGTTGGAATGTTTCGTTCCACACAGGATTCAGGTTGTTGTCTACCACTTTGGTTTTAAATCTGAAGAGGGGTCGGATGTGCAGAGCTACATACGGATCCGATTTCCCGATCAGCTCCATGTTCTTCAGCTCACTCGCCCTCACCACTGTTACCGTAAGCTTTCCAACTGGCTTCAGCTCCAGTTCGCTGCAGCAGTAATCAAAATAATAAATCATTTCCATCAACTCAAATCCATTCCATGTAGTTTTGTTTTGCCTATAAATGGCGGTTAACTGTGTGTCAGTAGGAATCTCACCTTGTGTCGACAGGTAAACCGCCGATGGGAACGACGATCCTGTGCGGCCATTGCAGCGTATCTGTTACAATGGAAGTAACGGTGTCCTTACGTCCATAAAATTAGCAGTTAGTACAAATAACGTAGGGGGTGATCAATCTATTCTACATAGAATAGAATATAGAACAGGAAGGATCCATCGAAACTTACATCAATCATATCAGAAATCCCAGGAAGAGCTGTTAGACTCCCACCAACAGCTTTCAGAGTATAATCAATACGTGGCTTTGGCTGAATACAGACAGATCAAGAATTCACATTACAATCATAACACATACGAAAAATACTGTTTGTTGGAAGACTACATAATACGTCGTTTAATCTGAAATGAATCTACGCCGATCAAGTTACAGAGGTATGCTAAGAATGTACCTCAGCTAGGAGAGCCACAACAACAGCAGAGATGCAAGGAATTTCATCGGCAAGTTGGAAAATAGCTCGGACTACCGTAAAAACTTGAAGATCTTTCAACTGTAACAGACAAAGAAAGGTAAAAGTTTTTCCATTTTGGACTATAGTGATAGAGTATTGATGCCGTATTGGGACTGAACAAGAATGCATATGTAACTACCCCATCTACAGCAGTTGAGTGATGGTAGTAGATGTGAAATGTTGTGTTTGCTGACCTGAATGGGTATGGAAGCAACAACTGCTGCCCCAACAGCTAGAATGATGCTCGGATCACCTCCCCACCGAAGATCAATATCCATCGTGATTTGGCCTTCCTTAAGACTCTGAACTCGAATCCCTGCAAAATATTTGCTGTTATAAGTAGGATATATGCAACAAAAGATCCTGATTGACCGCACTATACATAAAAGCTCAACTATATCCCGTACGGATCAATTGCAAGAAAGCGATGTAAGGAAATTTGCTAGAGTTCCATTTGCCAAAGAAATTGGAAACAAAGCTATACAATTTTGTATATATGCACGCCAATAGTAATCAAATAGCCGAGAGTCGGTATAATGCAACTGGTCCAATCTGAGGCAGAGAAAATAGATGTTGAAGAGGGCCAAGTTTTCCATTAACTTCGACATGAGAATAGGAAATTTTTACACACATACTAACAGAATTGCACTGAAATGTATTGTTTTCTTTTGAATATTGTCAATAAAATAGTGACCGAATGCCAAATAAGTGACCATAGATATTAAACAAAATAAGCTAAGAAACAGAGAAGCTATGGTGTTCTGGACGAATCCTCAACACATCGAACTATTTAAATAAAAAACAAAATTCAGTTCTCAGTATAGTTCTGCCAAAGTACGGAGGATGACGAATGACGACATTTGGCTAGAGCCTTAATGAAAGATTATATATATACATAATAACATCTTGTCACCACTGTAGGTACCTTCAATTTTAGGAGCCACGGATCCAAGAGAGAGTTCACTGAATTTCAATGAAGTAATTCCGGGGGGGCGATAGTCTTCCAACAACGGTTCAACAGTATCTTTGATGATTGCCTCCGCAGCCTGAGGAATAATTGACATAAGGAATCTAATAACCTAAATTTACTGTAATGGACAGGTAAACAATACTAAAAACTCAAATACTGAATGTGTATAGAAGAAAATGATCTTTTAGTAGATGCAAAATGATCTTTCAGTAAACGCAAAATGATCTTCTATGCAAATGGACATTTTTAACGAACACAGGGGCCGGTTTGCCATTACAGTTTAGAACAGAAGTCAAGCTTACATCTGCAATATATGGCCACAATTTGCTCAGCTGTTTGTTCAGCCATTTCACCTGAAAGTATAAAGAACAGCATAATGTAGAAAACTCCAAACAGATCACTATTGAAAAGGTATAATCATACATTCAGAGCCTATGCATTCACCATAAACAAGCATTCATTTTGAAGATCAAGACTGAGATATCTTTAACTAGATCTAAATCATCTCCAATGGAAGAGATTATCATTGCTCACTCTCCCGCGCTCATAAAAGGAAATTCATTCCTCATAATTCATCCATACTTTGTTTAATATCAAATTTAAGATACAGAGGAACAGGAAAGTAATCGTCACAAGTTGTTTCGAAGGAAAATATAACAAATGACAACAAGGGATAAATCATTACTGTTCTTGATATGAAATTCCTTCAACACAGCCGTATGCATAAATCAGAGTAGATATTAACCATTCCTCTCAGATTTCATATTATTGAGGAACAACCTCACCTAAAAAACTATGTATCATTTCACATTTATTCATCCCTTCAAATAAAACCACAGCATCAAAATGAACTCAGAAAGAATCCATTAAAGGAGAATCAATGCAATTACCTGCTCAAACACAGGAAATGATATCCATTCGGGGAAGTTGTCGCCGCAGATATTCTTTAAATCATCTCTGGTGAGTGCGTTTAGCAATTTAATGTCAACTGCCTGTTCAGAGACAAAAACACAAACACCATGTAATCAAACTTGCTCAATACTAAAATCTATACACTTCAGCAACAAACACATTAAACCAACCAACTGAAGATGGATTGAAACTAATCATCTCTCAGTTAGAAATTCCTAAACAAACATTGATTACATAATTATTATGATTGAATTACATAAACCCTAGGAAATTAACGAACGCACAAAAATATACTATAAATAAATACCTTCTGGCTTCGCTTATTGTGCCGATAGCTCATCATGTGCTTCCAACCTGCCATTAACGCCATCCCGAACAGTATCCCCAAAACTATTCCGGATATCAATCCCATTTCTGTCTGTGATTGCGCTCAAACCCCGATTTCTTAATCCGATCAATCAAAAATTCACGTCGTCACGAATCGGAACATCAGCATAAACGGCAACCGGCAATATATCACTCCGATCCAACGTTAAGCCATTATTCCGGCATAGTGAATTGAAACAACAACGGCGGCCGTGGCGGATGCAATCAAAATAAAAATCAAAAGAGAAGAGATCGCAATGAGAATGATCAGGGGAAGATCAGGAAGAGACAGTTGCAAAGGTGGGTGAGGTTTGTTAACGTCCAACTTCCTTCCATGTGTCGTTTTCTCCTTCATTTTCCATGCACGCTCAATTTCTTCAGCTTAATTTACACTCATGCACGATTTATATATCTATATACATACATATATATATATATTATTTTTAATTATTTATATACTCTTAATTTTAGTGATTAGAGTAGATAATGCTTTAGCTAATTAATTTGAATTTTATTTACGACTTTTATTTGATAATGCCTATCAATTTAGGGTGTGTTTGTTTCAAATATTTCAAACCAATTTTATTATTCATTCATTTTTTTTTTCTTAAAAAAAATATGAAGGGCACTTGTATTTAAATACCTGAGCTAAAACATTCGGTCCCTCCTAATTTTGACAAAGCACTGCGCTTCCTACTTTTTGTTCAACTTACAGTTAATTCCTTAGTACAATTTTACCTCTGAAATTACAATATAATGTAACAAATATTATGTGTACTCCCATTATTTTTATATAAACTTAAGTTATCAAATTACATACCTCAAAAGTATCCCGCTGTACAAAGAAAAGAAAAATAATTAGAGTAATGTGCCTGTAATTTGTATTTATATACTGAAATTAGTTACAGAAATTTAAATAAAAAAACAAAATAAAATCCTAATAAAACCCACTATCCTATTGTTGATGCAATTTTTCAATAATAAAAAGTAAAATCCAAAAATAGGAAATTATCTTCGAATTTGATATAATTAGTGCCTGAGATTAGGAATCTCTAAACACTATACGGTACATAAATAAGCTGGAAAATAAATGCTACAGACTGAAAATTAAAGGATATCCCCGAATCACTGACTTTATTGTCGTTTGAAGATGATTGAAGATCCCCTGCCAGTTGCTGACCCCAATCCTTAAATATTCTTCAGAAACGGTACCTGGAACCGTCGCCCGAACGGTTACACTGCCTACTCTCAATTGTCTACTAATTCCTCTTTTGTGGACACGTGTTTTCAACCGTCTTATCAGCCGCGTAACTCAACCGACCAAGCTACTATTCTCTCACTCGATCTCCGCAGCAGCCGACCTCCACAGCAGCCGATCTTCACAGCAGCCGACTTGCTCATCCACCTGCGTAACAACCAACCTGCCTGTCCGATCGCGGACCAACTGACTTGCCTGTCTGACCGCGGATCTTCCGACCTTCGAATTGATAACGGACTGCGGACCAACCGACCTGCCTGTCCGACCGCGGACCTTCCGACTTGCTTATCCGACCGTAGACCAAACGACCTTCCTGTCCGACCGCAAACCTTCCGACTTGCTTATCCGACCACGGACCAACCGACCTGCCTGTCCGACCGCGGACCTTCCGACTTGCTTATCCGACCGCGGACCAACCGACCTGCCTGTCAGACCGCGGACCTTCCAACTTACTTATCCGACCGCGGACCAACCGACCTGCCTGTCCGACCGCGGACCTTCCCACTTGCTTATCCGACCGCGGACCAACCGACCTGCCTGTCCGACCGCGGACCTTCCCACTTGCTTATCCGACCGCGGACCAATCGACCTGCCTATATCCTTAGAAGGAAGTCCGGTTCAACCGATTATCCTAAAACACCCCTTAATTAATCGAGGAGACCCAATTACAGGCCCAAATCTTCTTCTAGCTTGGGCCTTTTAACCTAATTATAAAATTCATACGTAACAACTTGCCCGCCGCCATCGAACTTTCAAACGCCATTCCGCAATCGCCGTTTGGAGGTTCGCAATCACAAAACTCTTCATCTTCGCTGCTGGCTTTTGCTTGCCGCTGAATCTCTGTAACTCCAAATTATGGCAAATCAATACATACCTGCACTTCCTTTTGACGGGTCCGTTCCAGAAATAGCATTTGTTGCTACGAAAATGCTCACTCCTACTATTCGCCCATATTGCACCACTCCTGAATATTCCAACCGGATGAGAAAGGTATTGGAAGCAGGAAACCCCCTCGCTGTCAATAATCCTAACTACAAAGCTATCCGTCTCCATGACAGTATCAAAACGCACCTGATGGACCCCAAAGACCCTTACCGCACCTGGTACAAAAGGGTAGCGAAACATTTTCAAGATCAATGGAAGCGCCAACAAATCGACCAGGCAATACTTCTATCGACTCTCCCATGTCATTTGCATGAGAAAGTTCTTTTGGCAATGTCGGCGTTCTGGCACTCAGAGATGGGCATCTTCCTCCTTCCTACGGCCCCCATCGGCCCAACACTCGTGGATGTGGCCATGATAGCCCATCTTCCCATTGTAGGTGAGGACCTTGTGATAGGAGCCCTAGATGGGCAAGAGCCCAATGCAGACCACTTGGACTGGTCTCTGGCTGGCGTAAAAGAATGGGGCTGGACCAAATTTTTAATCGACTAGCAAGAAGCAGCCGGGACCCCTGTGACCGACCGCGAGCATGTCGCCTTCCTTCTCTTTTGGCTCTGTAGGTATGTCATAATTTCTCCTTCAAAATGTGTCCTTCCGTCTCATCTTGATTTGGCCATCCACATAGCCTCATGTCGTTTCTTTTCTCTTGGTACTCTCTTCCTTGCCAATCTTTTTGAAGGGTTATCCAGGGTTAGCACCCGCCTTACAGATAGTGATGGCAAAAAATTGGATACCGCCGCATCGGGCCCTTTTTGGTTCCTGGAATTATGATTCCGTCTCTATTTCCCCGAAGCGTTCCAACTCGGCCATCCCCCTATTGCTCCAACACTTGACAAATCTTTGGGAATAGCCCTTAACCGACTTTGTTTAGGTCGCAATAACCTCAAAGCATCCGACCCTATCATAACTGCCATTCTAGCCGATGACCGTAGTGACTCCCGATTTTACATGTACAGAAAGTATGTCGGTTACGCTTCTGACCTGTTTTGGCCTTTCCCTGTATTTTCACCCTTGTCCAAACCGGACCTGCTTCCTCATCCAACTTATTCCTTCACCTGGGATGCTCCTCTTAAACCCAGGTCTTTATTTATTAGTAAGAAAATTGATAAGAAAGGCCGCAAAGCGTTTTATACCTTCAGCTATCAGCCTCACTTTTTGGCACGCCAGTTCGGATGCCACCAAGGTTTACCTGGCCCCATCGCCTGTCCACATCTAATAATTCAAAGCCCGGATGGGAGAGTCATCCCTGAATTGATTTCTCCTTACGTCTCCCAACTTACCAACTACATAACTTCCAACTCTTACATTCCCTTCCGATCTTCTCCAGACTCTGTTGAGTCCTTCCGCGAATGGTGGTCGGTCACTTGGGCCCTAATCGCCCCTGACAAAGATCCCCTGCTGGGCGTTCTCCTACCCCAGCCTGCCTTGGTACTAGGGGCGGCTCCATTGACCAACACCCGAAGAAACGTGATAGCCCCAAGCACCGGATCGGGTGCCCCAAAAAGAAAAAGAAGAGCTTCTTAAATCCAAACTGTCCCGTTCCCTGCAGAAAATCAGCAGACTTCGAAAGACCGTTCATCAGGTTGGGTGCCAGTAAAGACCCGACCCCGTTTAGGTATGTTCCAATAGTCCTAACTTAATCTGATTTTTCCTTAAAATTTCTTATAAATCACCATTCTTATAATCAGGCCCGACTCCGGCAAGAGCGACCGTCCAGTCTACTTCAAGCCCAGTCGAATCACCAAAGTCGTCAGCCGACCAACTTCAAGTACCTGAAGCCCCGACCAAACGACAAACCTCAATGCAAACGCCTTCACCACCCAAACTGGCAACCACAGGGGCTTCATCCGATAGTGAGGCGACTGCCTCGCAGATGGGTAGATTGCCTTATGTTGCCTCAGACCCATCTCTCCCTAACGCGGAACCAACGGCCACGCCTGCATCCGCCTCTGCTGCGATCGCTTCTGGCGCGGCCGCTTCTGCTGCAATCTCTCTCAATGTGACCGCTCCAATTAATAGAGATGTCTCTGGTGCGGCCGTCCAAGTTGCTTCCGACGAACCGGCTGCAGCCGCCCTAGGCGCAGCGACTTGAGGGCAGCAGACCCTGCTCCAGAAGCAGCCAGATGGGAAGAAGAACCTGCAGCCGCCCAACCAAGAGGTCTTTTACAAGAATTACAAGAAGTCTCATCTTCTGACTCAGAGACCTCTGTCAACTTGGTAAAAGCTTTAAACTCCCTTTTCCAATTAAGAGCCAATATTCACATAATATTAGATACATTATATTTCCATCTGCAGGGACCCAGATCAATACCGCAGCGTCCATTTGAAGCAGCCGACGAATCGGCCATTGCGATACCAGTTGCCCCTTTTTCCAGACTCATAACAGTCTTGGCACCTTCTGCGACCACGCTCCGCCCAGAAGTAAGTAAAGTTTTCACAAATAACTCTTGATATTGTGCTTCATGTGATCTGAACAAATAAAAATCCATTATTTCAGGGATGTCTTGATCTAGCCCCTCTGTCAGCTGTTCCAATTCCGGCAGACGTCCGAACCATAATTGCTCAGGCTTTCAACCAACCTTTCCCTGATCTGGGGCCAGACTTGTTAGACGGTCTTCTTTAGGCAATTGGAGGCCTTCTATTTCAAATTCCTTCAGAATCGGCAGCCGCCCCCATTCTTCATCGGCTGATGGAGAGACTATCCGAACTCTGAAACGACATCTTATTCGCCCAACTCCTGTCAGCTGAAACGCCCCTACCTAATACGGATCAAATAAGTCTGGAGGTTTCCTTGACTAAAACCAAAGAATCACTTCAACAAGCTACTGGAAGGCTGGACGGACTCC